TGGATCTTATTGCATTTTTTTGTATAGGGAAAAGGGGGAGAGGGGAGAGGGGTGTCATTTGAACCATCGAACCACTCCTAGCAACAGGCCTGTAGCCAGTAAAATGTTCTCAATGAACGCGAAATGGCAAGAAAGAACCTTTTCAAGGATATGAAACAGGAAAACATCAAAGCTAAGAGAGCTATTTCAACTCCATCTATTACAACGAGGGGTGAAATAAAATTCAACAGAAATGTCTTACTCTTTGGCCATCATGTTCAGTGTCATCTTCATCCTTAAACTCTAATTCATCAATACGGAAAGCAGCAGGTTTCTTGAATAAAAGAATAAAGGAAGCTTAACTAGAGGTTAGCAGCATAAATGAATGGATGGAATGAATAATGGATGGATGAATGTCTGAGGGAAAGAGGGAGGAATGAATGAACGGAAGAGTAGCTGAATGGATGGATGGATGGATGGATGGATGGATGGATGGATGGATGGATGGACAGACAAATGGGTTAATGGATGAATAGACCAATGGAAAGGCATATTAGGATGAATGGAAGGTCATTATCGCAATATCTACCTTATTTGGTCTCCTGACAATTTGGTTACGGCATGATTTGGACAAACTTCTTAATTCTGTCTGCTTTGACCTTTTAAGATGCTCAGGCTAGTAAATAGGAAAAACAAACTGTAAAACACCTATCAATGGAAGGTGGTGTTAGAGGAAGGACATTGTCAAGCACAACGTACCCTTTGCTCAGCTTGGGTCCCATTTTAATGGACGTAATGTATACCATACCTTTAGTAATGGTTCTGAACTTTCAATGAAGTAAGAAATGACTTTATTCATTGGCAGTAACTCATGCACCTCTTTTCCATTCTGAGGTTCTGCGAACAAAATATTAAATTCAAGTTAGAAATGTCACTGTAAAGTATGGGAAGTGCATTGGTAATAATTTACCCACCGCCAAAGTCCCCCCTCCCCTCCCCCCTCCCCTCCCAAAACCCACTATAATCTATAGGCAGGCCTGATTTGATTTGATTTAATATTCAGTAATGCATTTGAGTAGGAAGGTATTTACTAATAGTTCCTTCTCAATCTTACTTTCTCGTGGTTTTTTTCAGAGTAGCAATATTTCACAGTAAAATGGGATCCATTTTGAAAATGAACTGCTAAATAAACAAAGAAATAATTAAACTATGCATAATAATAGTGTTGATAATGTTAGCAAACCTTGTTTTCTGTAGACAAATCTTGGCATAAAATGAAATATCGGGCAACTTTCACTTTCTCCTTCTTGTCCTAATAAATAACAAACATAACGAACCAGAATTGAGCAAGATGTTAAACCAGAATAGTACCCTTCACAGTTCCCTCCACCATCTTCAAAGGTAGCCCTGCCTTTGCATCAAAAGGAGACAAGCAGTGAGCTTGCAATGATAGAGACGTTAACACCTTTATTAATTATTAATGTCTCTATCTTTGCAAGCTCATCGTTCATCTTGCTTCAATGCAAAGGCACACAGCTACCTTTTAAGATGGCGCAGGGAACTGTGAAAGGGACTATTTTCAGCATAAACTCATACAAACTCTGTGACATATTTATAACAATTAATAATAATAATAAATATAATAATACACTTTAAATAAAATAATAATATTAATAATGATAATAAATGATGAATATGTATTTTTAAGTGTTGGATATTAAAATAACGATAATAATATAATAGAATATAATAATTTAATAATATAATAAAAATAGTAAATTACGTTTTAAGGACCAGTCCAACAACTCAAGCACGTCAGAAAACAGGAACTTTGAAAGCATTTCTAATCCTTTGATACAAAAGTTCTGCAACAAATATGCATTGACATCAGATACATCTGTAATCAATGAATTTCACTAAACTTCAAATAAGAGGCAAAAAAGTAAATCAATAAAACCAATAAGATACTAATGTGTTACCATAGGAATTGGTTCTCGAACAAGGTGCATTGAAAACTCAATATTAAAGCGAATGAGTGAACAACGTGGAATCTGAAAGGAAACAAATTAAAATGAATAGCTTTGCTGGCATAGAGGATTATTTGAAATGACTACATAATCATAAATCAATGGGAAGGACTAGTTGAGGGTCTGATTCATGAATTCTGTGTGTCATATGTGACTAGATTTTCTAGTTGGTTCTCTCCTGTGCTTTAAGGTTTTTCTCCAGGTTCTCTAGTTAATTCTTTCCCTTCATAAAAATCAACTTCTAGATTCCAATTGGAATTCAGTGGATGAAGAGGGATAGATTTATTAACTAGTGGCTATCAAGAGCTACCCTCTCAAAACAATGATCAGTATTAACAGCTAATGAAAATAAATAAACTTTTAATAACCAAGGACTAGCATCCGAAATGTCAGTAAGTTTTTTCATCTTTTCAGGGTGTAAAATTTACCTTTTTATCATTACTGTTAAATATCTTTCATATGAAACTTTGTTACGAACCTTGTCTAGTGATTGGTGTGAGAGGATGGAAAATCCTTCAAACACATAGTCTCTGTCATGGTATTTAATTGTTGTTGGTCTTTCAGTCTGTGCAATGACAGAGGAATATTATTCAGATGGAATAACTATACAGAAGAAGCCTTAGCAGCTCAAGAAATGCATCCAAAAACCATAACATGTAAATATACAAGCATGCTAGCTTGGAAATATCAGGTTCTAGGTACTACACTTCTCGTGCAGTTGAGTTTTTGAAAACAGAAATTTTGTCCAAAGTTTTGTTGGCAACATGTGCATATTGTCAGGAGCAATGTAAGAAAATCCAATAGGAAACGAGCATAATGCACTGGCGTCATCTGCAATAAAGTGTAGTTATGGCGAACGTCAGTGATGATGCCATTGACAACATGTACACTTCATAGACAAAATTTCTATCATGCAAAACTCAACTAAGAAGCCTAGTATATGTTACGCATAATACAGCGTCATGATTAACTTACCATGAAGTTGGTATGAGGAGTTACAGTCACCCAGTAGTGGTATAATCTATCGGCATTATTACCAAGAGGATTGCACAATGGTATATTCTGAAGAAATGAGAGAGAATAAAGCAATGGCAGCTTAAGGCAGATCCAGGAATATTTCAATATTTCATTAGGAATGTGCTAACCTTTTCTCCTGGATACACAAAATGTTCTATTCCACGTTCCCTGTCTTTAGCACAACATCTACAAACTGGACCATCATTGCCCTGATCAAACAGAATATTCATGAAGAAATCAGGAAAATATTAAAAATAAAAATAAATAAATATGGGATTCTTACATAGTGCATTTTCACATTGTCTCAATGCGCTTTACAGACAGAAACACAAGAAGAAAGAGTAGACAAATATCGTACTCTAGCAAGACAAATATCGTACTCTAGCAAGACAGACAGACAAATAGAGTAAATATATAAAACAGACAGAAAAGATAGACAGAAAGAAGAACAGGCAGACAGACAGACAGACTCAAAGATAGATAGACAGACATGAAAGACAGAAAGTCAGATGGACAGACAAACTGTCACTCAGACAATCAGAAAACATTGTGGAATACCTCTCCTTTTTCATTGAACCAAAGATCTGGATGAAGTCTTCTAGGATCGGAAAGCTTTCTTGCTCTGACCTCTTCAGCTGAAGACCCAGTAGGAGCACTTGCACATTCATCAGAGCTACTATCACTTGCATCATCATCAACATCAAATTTGTCATCATCATCATCATTGTCCCCACTCTCGTCGGAGTCATTTGCATCGGCAAATGTATCTGCAGAATATTCACCATTGCGTTCTTGTTCCCTCAAGTCAAAGTCATCTAAAGAATCAAAGTCACTATAGATTTCATCATCGTCATTATTTTTTCCATTGCCATTGCTATCCTTGGGTGTTTTATGTGCTTCCTTTGTATTCAATAATTGATCTTCACTTTCAGGCTCACTGTGTTCAGCCTCAAGGTTCAATATCTTCTTTTCAAATGTTTCATATAGCTGCTCAAGCTTCTGAGTACCAAGGGTCACTGACTTGGAATCCTGTTTTTAAAGTAAGGGACAAGAATAAAATTCATGATATAATAAAATAATGAAATAATAACAAATTATTCACTACAACGACAACAAAATATATTTTCTTGCTATTTTTTTAACAGCTATTTTTTTAGCCCTGTCTAGAGGTTACACTAATAAACCAATTTACACCTCCTACAAATTTGCAGACCTCCCCTCCCCCTCCCTTACCAAAATAAATAAAAATGCTCTCACCTTTTTACTTTTAGATAGTGTATAATATTTTTCTGGTACTATAARCTTCAAGACTCTCTTAATGTCTGGTGCTGGTGGTGATATACAGCGCAATGGTCGATCACCCAGCCTGTGATGTTTTGTATCATACTGATTCCTAACGAGAATGGAAAGAAATGGTTAGACTCCCTTGGGGGGAGGGGGTGGGGCTTGGTGACTTGAGGTCAAAGACTGTTAATTCTCAATTTACACCTATGGTTTTGATGGTATGAGAAGAAAAAGGAAGGGRAAAAAATGAGACAGGATGAAATGGGATTGAATATGCAATAAGGAAAAGAAAAAATATTATATGAAATAGTAGGCGCCTTGAGCAAAGGATAAGTGCACTATAGAAATGTGTTTCTTTTGTTTATTTTATTATAGCATTAAATGAGAATGACTGAAAAAGTGGGAATGTAATGAATATGGCATACAATCCATGAACCAAAAGAACAAATGCCTTCTATCGCCAAGATACTAATCAAGCTATGCAAACAATAGTCTAATATTTGTAGCTAAATGCAACCAGACTTACCTATCAAGACTGCTTGGTTTTGGGTCTTTCCCTCTTTGGTTATTGACTTTACTATGAGAACTGTTGTTTGAGCTGCTAGAGCTTGTTCTGTCTCTCCCTTTGCTTGTTGTACTAACTCTCTTTCTATCATGAGGACTATAGCCCTTATCATGATCAATATGCTTAGGGTGTGACCTTGTTTGCCCTTCACTTGACGTAGCACTACCTCCCTTATCAATATCAATATGATTGAACTTTGTTCTTATCTTTCCTTCACTTGATGTACTAACACTCTTTCCATCAGGACTATAACCTTTATTATGATCAATATCCTTAAGGTTTGTTCTTCTCTTCTCTTCACTTGATGTACTAACTCTCTTTCCATCAGGACTATGACCCTTGTCATTATCAATATCCTCAAGCTTTGTTCTTGTCTTTCCTTCACTTGATGTACTAACTCTCTTTCCATCAGGACTATAACCCTTATCATGATCAATATCCTTAAGCTTTGTTCTTATCTTTCCTTCAATTGAAGTGCTAGTTCTTTTTCTGTCATGACGACTACAATAATCAGATTCCTTAGAAGTTGTCTTGCCCTTCCCTTTAATTGGTGTACTAATTCTCTCTCTGTTATCAGGATCAACATGCTTTAAATCATCGTCATATTTTGGTTGTTTATGGCTGTGTCTAGAAGAACTGTGATGTCTATCTGACCCCCTTTTCCTTGAAAATCCATGATCTTCCCTTTTCCTGTCAGGAGATCTTGCCTCTGAATTCCTGTAAGTTGAATTTTTGGTATAATGTTTTCTTACGCTTTCTCTTTCACCTGTTCTCCTTGAAAACACTTCGTCTTCGGCATCTGTAAATGCCATGGAATGCATTTCTGGTGGAGATATGCCATAATCATACTCTATAGTACCCATCTCATCATCACATACATGTCTATGATCTTTATCCATTAAAATGTCTTTTGTTCTTTGTTGTGCTTTAGAGTGATTACTGATAAAAGTATTACATGAATCTTCTTTGTTTATACCACTACCAGTAATTCTATCAATACTTTCAATTTTATCTTGAACTGGGACAGTTGGTATTTCGTTCAGGTTGTTACTAGTGATCATACCTTTCTCACTGTTGTTAGAGACTACATGCATCAGTTCAACAGGAGCATGACTATTTGAATCATTCCTTCCATTTCTTTGTGGTTCTATGATAGGATTAGGGAAGTGATCTACACAAGTTCCTGGAGGTGGTGGTTGTGAGTTTAGATTCATAGGAACAGGATGCATATTGAAAGGAGGTTGATGATGCATCACTGATGGTTTACCCATTTCAGAGCTCATTCTTATAGCTTGGTCTACCTCCATAGGAATCCTAGGACATGGATGATTAGCAGGATGTGGTAAAAATAGTGAATGCTGTCCTTGCATACCTCTGGGTTCCAACATTGGGTTTAGATGAATGGGATTTATTAGAAACTGGGGATTCAAAGGACTTGGAATACCTCTTGGCTGCATTACTAGTAAATTGTTTGGTTCTAGATGCATAGGGTGCCTTGGAAACTGAGGTCCACTCTGTATCGAAGGGCCACTGTTGGGTAGGTGATGATTGGCATGCTGTTGTGACATAACGACATCATTTGGGTTAAGTGGAGGCTGGCTCAAGTTACTGTAGACCCCATGGGATTGTGGGATAGCTGGGGGTCTGTGTGCCAGACCTTGTTGACTTGGTCCAAGATGTTGTTGGGCAACAGCCTGACCAACACTGGGATTTGCCTGAAATAACCAATGAAGAATTACAAGAATGATTTTAATCATAATAACTTTGAGCAATAATTAGTTGTTTCTGTTAACTTTCTTGATATCCTAGCTGTGACATGTTATTAATTATTAAACAAAGTGTTCCCTATGTTTATATTGACATTCAATACACTAGGGCCGCGGTCACACTGGGGCCACTGAATAGGCTTGAGATGGGTTTCTTTTGATTATGATCTTAACAATCTTAAGACGGTATTAAGAACAAAGTGGTCACATTAGATAAATGGCTTGTCTTATTATAGGTTAAATAAACATAAACCTTTGCGAATCACCTAAGGTTATTTCATTTCATGCTCC